TGCACTCACGACAAAGTGCACGTCAACAGTCCGGCACAAATTTTGTTAATCACGGACGATGTCATGATCATCTTCATGGCTGCTGGTCTTCATTTATGGGGATGAGAAGAGGTGCTGGTCTTCGTCAAAGAGGAAGAGAAACAGAAAAATAAATAAAGAAATAGAACAAAGGCTGACGGGAAAGAAAAACGAAACAGAAAAAATAAAATTAAAAGCCACTTGGACAGACTTCGCCGATGAATAACAGGTTTACCGGCTAAAAACCCAAATTGAAAACTTTATATTAGTTCATTGGTTTGATCGGGTGCTTTTTTAGTTGGGGGTTAAATTGACTTTTTCGAAGTAGTAGGGGGACTTATTTGACAGTTTTCCCATTTTTTTACTTTTTGGTCACTTATGATACTCTTTTGTTGATTAGTTTGCGATAAGATGTTACCAATTTTACCACTCCGTATTATTTAATTCAACTCAGGTTTGTCTTATTTATTTTTTCTTTTATATTTAAGTCTGATTTGGCCTGAGATTAAAAACATACTCCATCCGTCCCTTAAAACTTTGCCAAGTTTGACCGGCACGAGGATTAATAAAGTAAAAACTGTGTGGTTGAGATTTGTGCAGAGGAGAGAGAATTAACTGGAACCACAAATTTTTTACTTAAAATGGAAAGTGGCAAAGTTAGTGGGACATCCAAAAAAGGAATGTTGGCAAAGTTTTAAGGAACGGAGGTAGTATATTTAAAATACCATTTTACCCTCTAAACTGACACATGGCCTCTCCCTAGGGATGGACCCGGGCCAGGCCGGTTCAGGTTCAGGTCTGGGCCCGGTCGGGCTTTTGTTTGGGAAGTAGGGAACCGGTCCGGGTGACTGGCGGTTCCAGGCCGGACCGGGCCGGGCCGGTTTCCGGTTCAATGTTATTTTTTTTATTTTCTTTTGTTTTTGTAAATTACCCCCGACCCCCCCTTCACCCCCACACCCCCTTCACCCCCCCCCCCCCAAAACACCTAGCCCTACCCATTAGAAACAAAAAGAATTGAAAAAATAATTGCCCCGAACCGGCCGGGCCAGTTCATCATTTTCAAGGCCTGAGCCCGAACCGGGAGTTGAGCAATTCCGGTTGGCCCGAACCAGCCCCTAGACCGGGTACCAGGCTGGGCCCAAACAGGACCGAGCCGGGCCCAAACAATATCGGGCCGGTCCAGTTCTGAGCCGGGCAGTCCGACCCGAGTCCACCCCTACCTCTCCCCAATTGTGAATTTTGATATGTGACTTTAAAAGTTTAAAACTTTGTCAATATTTTTTGAAGTAAAAAATTCGTAGTTCATCCTATTTTGATCTCCTCTGCACAAACATCAATTACACATTTTACTCCCTTTTTCCCATCAAAACTCAATATTTTACGATGTTTTATATGCATTAATATCTCCTATTTTCTAACCTCAACACGGTTTATTCCATATCAAAGAAAGAAATATTTTCTAATGTGTCAAATATTGTGCAGGCAATATAAGTCTTTCATACACATTTTTTTTCTTTTTTTTATCTAAAGAATATATTCTGTAAATAATATATTCTTTATTATATAATTCTTTTAGGTATAGGATAAGCCGGATAAAACTTGAGCGGGAGAATTTTCTCTCTCATACGTAATGATTTTAGATATAAGATAAGATAAGACGGCTAACAATTCATTGGGAGAATTGTTTCATACGTAGTGCTTTTATATCATGTATAGGATAATACGGCTAAACCAATTGAGCAGGAGAATTTTGTATCCCATACATAGTGATTTTAGCTATATACTAGCTCTTATAAAGATGATTTTAACCTTAATGAATCATATGTGCCAAACTCTCCTCAATTCACTCATTTTCTCTAGCAACGCCACGTGTGTATTTTTGCTTCAATGTACGACTCTCCATGGAATGGGAAGGAGCAGCCGTGGAGACTAGAGAGATGCATTGGTGGGACCCAAACTATAAAAAATCTCAATTTTTCTTTAAAGTGCAATAACTTTTTCATTTTTATTTTAGTTCTAATAATAAAATAAAATTTTGAGTTGGTCTATTTAGTTTTGTTTTGAGTTGGTCTAAATCGAAGACAATGAGTAATTTGAATTCATCAACCCTACAATTATCATTCTTTCTTTTTAACAAAAAGGGGGCAGATATAAAAATATTGATTTATCATTTTTGGTTTATTTTAAACTGGTTTGATCTATTTAAGTTTAGCTTTATTGATTTTGTTTAACCAATTCAACCACTTCTGTCAGACTTTTCGACTGAAGTTACTGTACAGAATCAATTTTAACTACTTCTCATATAATTTTTTATTTACTTCATTAATGAAATATAATTTAAATTAAATTCATCCATAAATAATTATATTCAACCAATTCAACCACTTCTCTCAGAATTTCATCAATTTCAATAAAATCGGATGATTTAGTCAATTTCAGTGTTACTAAACTGGTTTTAAATATCAAAATTAGTACATGAAAGTAACAATAGATCATTGGCTAATAAAAATGTCTTTTTTAAAAAATGACCTTTTAAAAGTAAACAAATGAGAATATTTTTTCTTTTGGACAAAAAAATCACATTTCATTAAAGAATCCCTTTCATTAAAAATGAACATGTTGAAATAATCTTTATAATATGTAAATGACTCAAAAATACAAAAAAAAAAACTTGAATTTGGTTATTATTACGAACTTCTAATTATGTACATACAATCGAGATAGACTTACAAAAGAGTGTCAGATGATTCCTATATAGGAATTGGTTAAGATTCATTTACTTCGATCCATGTCAAATCGGGAAGAATTTTATGGGACGGAAGGAGTATTGTTGTTATTGTTGTTGTTATTGTTGTTGTTGTTATTTTATCAGGCTACTAAACGGCCTCTAAAATCAAAATCAGGCCATAAAAAGAGGAAAATCTAAAAATACTAAATTTATTTAAGGAAAAATGTTCAATACATGGGCACTGGTTTGATTTAAAAAAAAATAGAAAATGAAATCTAATTAGTTCTAATAAAATTAGACATCAAGTTGGTCTATTTAGTGCTGCTTTGAGTTGGTGTAAATTGAAGATAATGAGTAATTGACGTGCACTTTGTCGTGGTGTGCACTCAAAATAATAATACAATACAACAATTATACGTAGTATAACGAAGTAAGGTTCGTATCCACAGGGAAAGGAATAATTTTCTCTTTATAAACTAGTAACAAGGGGGGGGGGGGGGGGGGGGGTTAGATTGAATAAATAAACTTAAATTATATTTAAACACGAAGATGAACGAGTTATGTGGTTTAATTAATAAGATGAAGACTTGGCTTTGCTTTTATCCACTTAATGAAATGTTCGTCGATCCCGGTTATATCTTTAACTATCTTCCTCTCGAATACTCAATCGAGGAGTATATCCAGTTCATCGAGGGTAGTTATTAATAACGAGATGCGTTCATTAATAAAACTTACTATCAAGTCAATATAGAACAAGCGATGTATATTAACTTGATAGTAGCAATAAACTTAAGATGAAAACGATTGAGATTGATAACCTCAACACAAGCGGTTTATTGGTTTAATCAATATAATTAATTCCTCTTGGCTTATTAATCATGAGAAGCATGCATTGACAACCCAAGTTTACTACCATTGAAAGAACCGAATTAATAACAAGCGTATTAACCGATTGATTCTAGTAATAATTAATATATGAAACAAAACTAATTGATCCTTTAAGTAATGTTCAAAATATTAATATGAAATATGAATAGGAATTAATTATTACTCAAGAAAGAATATTAAAGAAGATGAATCCTACTATAGTTAATATCAAGATGTTAACTAATTGTCATCTTAGTAACACTCCCCGATATTAACGTAGAGGAAGAAATAACTATTACTATAACTAATGTCGAGATGTTAACTAATTGTCATCTTAGTAACACTCCCCGACATTGATATAGAAATAGTATTTAAAGAAAGAATTAATATTCAAGGAAGAAGATTAAAGATAATAACTCACAACTTACAAATTCATTAAGCTTCAAAGGAGCAAAACCAAGATGGAAGAGTTTAGCTCCTCATTTGGAGACTAAACATGTTATAAAAATATAAAAGAAATACTATTCTAAACTGAGCTTAAGAGTATGGAAGAAGGGATGCTTAAAAGTGAAGGAAAATGGGGCTATTTATAGGTGTTTTGAAGGTGCTGCACCGGATACCCGGCCGGGTATTTGAGATACACGACCGGGTATTTGTCAAAATCAAATATTTTGCCCACGATTTTGTGTTTTCTGCACGTCTTTTTGTCCGGGTCACTTCATACCCGACCGGGTAAGTCACCAAATCACATTTCTTGCATGATTTCTTGTTCCCTTGCACTTTCCTTTGATCTTGTAAGATCCCTTCCATGATCCTTTGTTGATTCTTGATTGTTTCTTGCTCAAGATGATTCTAAATTTACTAAATTACAACAAACTAGAAAAATAAAATGATTGCACCTTAAATGTGCAATTACCACAACAACACACCATAAAAAGTAATTAAAAGTAAAAATATAAACACTCAAAAATCAATGCAATCAGTAATATAAATTCATCTACCCTACGATTAATAAAATCTAATGTTATTTTCTATTTTTTATTCTACTCCATTCGTTAAACTATTACAAATGTTATTACTTCATAATTTCGTTACTCGAGAATAAAAATTAGCAAATGAAATTGATAATCAAAGTGCTAATAAAATAAAACTTCTAAGTTTAGTTCAATTTATTATTCTTTCTCTTTGACTTATTTCCAGCCTCAAAATGGGTTTTTTCCGTATTGAATAAAAAATTAACTCCTAATATATGATCTAAATAGCGATGGTTGATAGAATGGTATTTTGTTGATATGTCTCCTTTCTTTTATATATATATATATATATATATATATATATATATATATATATATATATATATATATATATATATTCATATAAAATGATATTCTGATATAATTATCTATTTTGATATATAGGTTTGGCATATAGTATTTTGATATAAAATGGTATTTTGATACTACAATGGTATATAGTATTTTTAGCCATTTAGTTATGAGATAATGCAGCTAACAATTGAGCAGAATAAATTTCTCTCTCATATGTAGTGATTTTAAGTATAAGAAGATAAACCGGCTAACATGAGCAGAATGCATTTCTCTCTCATATTTAGTTCTTTTAAGTATAAGATTAGTTGACTAACAATTGAGCGTGATAATTTTCTCTCTCATTTGAGATATAAGAAAGATTAAAGTGTAAGCAATCTAACAATTGAGCAAAAGATTTCTCTCTCTTAGTAGCAGTGCTTTTAAGTATAAAACCATAATCCAACTAACAATTGAGAGAGATAATTTTCTGAATCATATATAGTGTTGTTGCGTATAAGACAAAACGGGTAGCAATTGAGTGGAGAATTTTCTATTTCATATATACTGTTTTTAGTTATTAGAAGACAAACTTGCTAGCAATTGAGCAAAATAAGTTTATCTCGTTTCATATATAGTTCTTTTAAGTATAAGATGAGTCGGCTAACAATTGAGCACAAGAATTTTTTACTCTCGTATGTAGTGTTTTTAGATATGAGGTATGCCGACTAACAATTTAGCAGGATAACTTTCTCTCTTATATGTAAGAATTTTAGGCGTAAGAGGATAAGCTTAATAGTAATTGAGTTTTATGTATAAGAAGATAAGATTTCTAAAAATTAAACGGGATAACGAATTGAGTGGAATAACCTTTCTCGCTCATTATATAAGAAGACTAACAATTGAGCGGGATAATTTTGTCACTCATATGTAGTGCTTTTAGACATAAGATGCTAAGAGGATAAACTTGCTAACAATTGAGGGATATATAAATTTCTCTCTCATGTGTAGTTCTTTTTAAGTATGTAAGATAATCCAGCTAAGAGTTGAGCAGGAAAGTTTTTCTTCCATATGTAGGTTTGTTAGGTATAACATAAACCGACTAACAATTGAACGTGAAAATTTGCCGACGATATTGTATTGATTGATGAAACGCAATCAGGGGTTAAGGCAAAGTTGGAAGTATGGCGACAAACATTGGAGAACAAGGGTTTCAGACTAAGTAGGAGCAAGACAGAGTACATGGAGTGCAAGTTTGGTGGAGGTGGAAGCAGTGGTAATAGCGGAATTACTTTAGATGGTAAGGAGATACCGGTCAGCGATATGTTCCGTTACTTGGGCTCCATAATTCAGAAGGACGGTGAGTTAGATGGAGATGTATCCCATAGAATCAGAACAGGGTGGATGAAGTGGAAGAGTGCGTTAGGATTTCTATGTGATCGAGGTATGCCGACTAGACTGAAGGGTAAATTTTATAGGACAACAATTAGGCTTGCATTACTGTATGGCACAGAGTGTTGGGCGGTGAAACAATGTCACATTCAAAAGATGAGTGTGGCAGAGATGCGCATGCTGCGTTGGATGTGTGGGCATACTAGAAAGGATTGCGTGAGGAATGAGACAATCAGACAAAGGGTGGGAGTAGCACCTATAAAAGATAAGATGCGGGAGTCGCGCCTACGGTGGTTTGGTCATGTGCATAGAAGACCGAGTGATGCACCTGCCAGACGAGTTGAGATGTGTGGAGAAGAGGCAGGGAAGAGAGGGAGAGGAAGGCCCAAACAGACGTGCGTTAAGGGAGTCAGAAGTGATATGCTTCTTCTTGGATTGGATGAGGGTGTGGCTTTGGAGAGAGCAAAATGGAGGGCGGGTATTCGTGTGGAGGAGTGATCTTGTATCATCTTTTCCCCTCTCTTTTTTCTTTTTTTTTTCTTTTTCTTTTATATTTTTATCCTTATATATAAATATTACTTTATCCTTTGTATTTTATATTTTATATGTATATTCATCTCTTTTATATTATATTTTTTTATAATAGCTTATCTTTTTTATGTTTATTTTCTTTCTTTTCCTTTTGGGGATATCATGTATCGATTCATGTTAGCCGACTCCAATATCGTTTGGGACTAAGGCTTGGATGTTGTTGTTGTATGTTGTATATGTAGTCTTTTTAGACATGACAAGATAAACTTGCTAATAAATGAGCGGAAGAATCGTGTCTCTCATATGTAGTGATTTTAGGTATTAGAAGATAAGTTTGGTAACAGTCGAGCGGGAGAATTATCATAGTTCTTTTAAGTACATAGTATAAGATAAGTCAGCTAATAAATAATGGGTAGAATTTTTTCTCTCATATTTAGTGCTAAGATGATATGCCTAACAATTAAGTGGGATAATTTTTTCTTATATGTAATTCTTTTAGGTATAACAAGATAAGTTGGCTAAGAATTACAATGGATAATTTTCTCTCTCATTTTTTTACTATATATTAGCACTAATTTACTAATGAGTGACAAGGTCTTATTTAACTAATATTCTTTAATTTTAATATTTAATGTTCTCACTTAAACTTTATGCCACTCACTTATTGTACTCACTTAATCTAATCATGAAAATTAATAAGTAGCAAATTCTAATGAATGGTGTCAATTAATTTTTCCTAATATACTTTTTCATTGAATATATATTGTATGGGCTTAAACTTTATGGTATTCGCTTATTAAACTCTTATTTTTTGAAAATGTAGAATCCTAAAAAGTTATTGTTATTTTAATATTTAATTAGAACATGAATAAAAATATATGCACCAACTGCTCTTTCCCGTGCGTATGCACAGGTACTATACTAGTCATTTATAAAGATAGTGTATATTCCCAATCCGAGTAATTATTTCTATAAAGCTATCATTTCCTTAATTATAAGTTCCAAGTTAATCTACCGAATTCTCGAAGGCTGAGATTTAAGTTCTTATCCAACTTTGTATGATATTGACTTCCCTCTCCCGTTGCTGAGTTAACCAGATGGGATCTGATGGTGTGTTTGCCCCATGCAAATCCAAACAATGAGATCCTACCATCAGATTCATGAACACAATTATATATAATTATAATTAAAAGTGTTTTGATTACTTAATTACGTCACAATTGTGTATTAGTATTAATCACATATAGAAATTATTGTGTATTGTATTGCTTAAATCGTTTATATTTTCTATTCGTCCATGAATATCACATAAACCTTATAAATACAAAGTAGCTCTAGTACACCATTGGTCCTGACATTTCAAAACTGTTGAACGCTAGAATATAATTTGGATTTAAGAAGTTGTATGGAGGGTACAACAAATGAACTGGTTTGGTAGATGTCTAGTTTATCATCTATGTGTATTTTAAAATGTCTCCTAGAGAATAGTGTGAATCACAAACCGACACTGACACTATATATAGGAAAAATATGAATAGTGTAAACCGAACCGTGAATTATGAATTAGGGTTTTTTAACTAATAGTCTCGGTCTCAACCGAACCGTTTAGAGACACAAACTTGCATTTTCCTATATATACCTCCCTTGTAAACCCTAATTCATATTTCACAAACTCATATTCAAAACATTCACACAATTCATCTTTTTCTCCACTTCTTAGCTCTAATCTCTCCTAATATTACATGTTTGGTTACCCAAATTCTTCATCGGTCCATTATCTCAGCCCAAATACAAAAGTTAAGTATTCTCTAATTTTATATGGTTATCGAAAATAAATTTGATAAAAAAAAACAATACAAAAAAATCAAAAATTAAAATATTAAAAAAATCATAAGATGGCCAACATTCATATTCCACAACCTTGGCTTTTTCATATGGTCCTGTTCTTTTTAATTGGATCATACGGCTGGGCGCCCACAAGGCCCATCTAGTTAGATTTAAACACTTTTTTTTAATCTTTTTTCTTTGTATATTCTAATAACTTAATAAATCAGGTAAGTGTTCCCCGACACTTACGGCACCCGAATATGTGACTTTCGGAATTAAAAATAATAATAATAACATAACATCAAATTTCAATCTCGGGGCGAGTCATCTGTTAAAAGACCCTATAAAAGCGTGCGTCTGGGGATTCGTACTACGAACTTGAGTGTCAAGTTGAGCTAGATTATTAATTTATTATCATTTTTTCTTTAGAAGCGTGCATTTTTTTACATTAAAAAATGGACTTATAGAATCTGATCACCCACCTACGCCGTCAGAAAGTGTTGAACTCTCGCACCAACGTAACGGATCACGTCATACGGGTATGACGATTAATATGCTCCCAATCTAAATGCCATTTAATGCATACTCTCGTTTCTATGTTTTGAATCAGTTATGTGTGCTCTCTAATATAGGTCACACTCCAACTAAGCATAGAAATCTAGCTTGAGCTCTAGCGTGAAAATTTGAGACAACTTAATTTAGGTCCAGATCTAATAGCGAATTATAAGCTCATGCAAATTTGAGACAACTTAATTTAGGTCAAGAAATTATAACAATTTTATTTAAATGCTTAGGTGCAACTAAATGATGACATCATACCGGTCTTGAGAAATATATATACCGTCCAATCATCTTTATTTCATTACATGAAGCTCATGCAGGTCATTCGGTCATATACCTCTCATTCACTTTTATTTGATGACGTGGAGCTCATACAGACCCTTCGGTCAAATATGAATTCTCATATTTTAGTACTCCCTCAGTCCCAAATTGTATGATACATTTACTATTCACTTGGTCAACATAAATCAATCTTAATCTTTTATTTTATATATTAAAAGTTTATGAAATTTGAATTATTTTTTGCAGGTTTTGTAGCGGTTTTAATGTAGTTTATGAATATGTAAATTTTATTTTCTAGAACTAATTTGAGTGTTGTCAGGGATCAATTTGCTTTATCATCAGTCAAACATCGTAAACCGTAATGTATCTTACAAATTGAGACGGAGGAAGTAGTTTGAATTAGTTAATCATACCATTATGCGTATAGATTGCAGGTAGAGTATCCGAAATAGACTGCAAAACCCTGTTAATAGACAATCACAACAAACAAAACAGGTACATTAGAGTAACAACAACAATAATGACAATGAACTTACGAACAACACTAATAACAATGAAAAACAGGGTCGTCTTTGAACATGTTAATTAGATTAAACAAAACAGGACCCCACTTTCCCTGGGGCCACAATATTTATAAAGCACTAATAGTATTATTTTTAGGTCACTAACATTAATTAATTATATATTGTAATAGTCTATACTATCGTATATGAATATGAGTCACAACTAAATTCACACTCCATTATTTTGTATAATAATGCTCTCATAAATTGAAAAACTTTAAAAACAATGTAGAGATTAACTATTTGAAAGGGGAAAATTACTAATTCTTTAATTGCATTATTTAATGAGTATTCAATTGATATGAGTATAATAAAAATTTAAATGGAGAGCAGTTTTTAGTTTTTATGTTATAGTGGGGCCTCAAATTTGCATTGTGAACAGGGACCTCCAAATTCATTAGACGGTCCTGATCAAAAACACCAACAACAACATCGAAATAATAACAATAGCAAAACAAAAATGGCAATGCAATGAAATAACAATAACGACAAATCGACAATAATAACGAAATAACAATAATGAAATAACAACGAAACAATAACCACAGTAGCCAAAAAAACAATAAATACAATGATGGCGACCAAATAATAACAACAATAAGGGAAGAGTGTGAGTGGTGTTTAATTACCCTCCGGTGCTGTATGGATCTCTTAGACCGTTGGAGAAGATTATGTTGCTACCAAACGTCCGCAGAACTGACTTAATATCCTGCAATTGTAATTAGTTTGCATCAAAAAGTATATTGGCAAGAATATTTGCAATAGTAAAGTAATACTACAATGAATTTATCGACACAATATAATTCAAACTTTTATTTGTCGAGTGGTCCGATCCTGACATTTCAAAACCGATTGTGCTATACATTTTATCGATTGACCACCATATAAGATGAAATATGTAAATGAATATAAAGTTACAAGACTAAAAAAGGATAAAGTCGGACAACATTAAATCTCTCATAATATACACTCCGTATATTCACTCATTTTATATTGGAAAATTGTATTTGTACACTACACAACTTGTACACACTATATAAATCTAAAATTTACCATTTTCATTTTCCCATTTTTTTCCACTCCTCCCTTTTCTCTTCCCTCTCTCTCGCTTCTTTCTTCCCTCTCTATCCAACCTTTACAGATAGCCAAAGGAAGATTGTATAATTTTATTCTCTACTTAATCCTCCTCTTCCCTTCTTCATCCTCTTCTTCTCTACTTTTTTGTATCTAATTTTTTCTATTACTTGCACAAAATGACCCTATTTATTTATTTCCATCTATTTTTATTATCTTTTCATTTTTTAAATTATACGGACTATGTAAATTTAGCACACATACAACTAAATCATATATTTGCACGTATATACACTATCAAATATTTTGTTCACCCATACAATTAAAATTAAAGTAGATCACACAGACAAATATTGTCTGTAAGCAACATAACTAATGTCTGTGTAATAAAATCTACATGAGCACAAACAATTAAAAGTGATCTCACAGACAACTTTTATCTGTGAGCCCCACAACTATTGACCGTTTAGTAAATCTATTAGAAAAATCCACATTTTGGTCACATAAAATAATTGTCTGTGCACAAACAATTATTGCATATGCACAGACACTGCAAACATAGAGATTGATTTGCATGCCACTATGCCAGTGTCAGACAGCTGTTAGAGTACTTTTAACACGAAAATTAATGTGTGAGCTCTGTGTGCAGACAACGACTCTTGTATGTGCTCATAGGCAACTCTCATGTTAGGTTTCAGCACACCAATTGCTTGTGACTAATATATGTGTGCAATTGTGTACAAATTGTGAACTAGAAGCATTATTTTTTTTATTTTTTCTACTTATGGAATTACTGTGTGTACTTACAAATTAAATAAAACAAGATAGACTTCACTAGGAAGGAAAATAAAGTAAGAAGGTAACATACGTGTCCTCCGTAATAAGTTGTGACCCAGTGAGGTCGAGGCGGAACCCCGTAGTAATCATTGCAAGCCTTTGATTGTTGGTCCATGTCGAAATGATACGGAACGAACATCGTGTCATCTCCAATCTCTATTGGTATCACCATTTCACTACAAGTCTGTACTCATCCAAGAATAAGTTCCAAGAATAAGTTAAGAGCTTGTATACGCTACTCCATACTCCGTATTAATAAACAAAAATTAAGTTGGTACCCACTTCTAATTAATACCATCTTATACCCACGCATCTCTGACAAGGTTATTTTATTGTAACATGTTTGTGAACGGGATCCACACACATGTAATTAATAGTCTTCTCATAAAGGTGGTGAATATAAGGAAGTGGGTACAAGTAGCAAAAGTGATTAATAAAACGTCATTTGTACCCAGTTTTCAAAAAAAAAAACGTCATTTGTACCCGTTTTTTGAACGCTCATATACTTTATTCAGTCCTATTTTGTAAAATATCTTTTATATTCACTTGAGTGTTGACTAATTTACATTTGTAGTTTCTGAACGTCATTTGTAGCGGTTTAATGTAGTTACTGAATATGTAGATTTTATTTTGTAAAACTTATTTGAGTGTTGACAAAGATCAATTTGCTTTATCAGCGGTCAAATATAGTAAACCGTAAAATGTCTTATAATTCGAGACGGGGGAGTACAAATTATACTGAAAATGTGTACAACAAATATGACTGATCTAAGTGATCTAAGGGGTAGATCGAGACACGGGGAGGTTGGAGGGGGTCTCGGACCTCCAAGTAAAATTTTGTGATGTACTACGGTATATACATATGTATAAATATGATAGGTAGTAAAAAATGTATTGAAATTTTAAGTTTTGATTCTCACACCATAATTTCTTAAGCCCGGGTTCCTTAATCTCTCATTTCTGACTCCAGCCGCCACTGTGATGTTGTTATCCTAATGATGCTTAAGTCTCCATCTTAAGTATTGGAAGAATTTGCTCCATGCATTTTATTTAAGAAGTGGCCAACATATAGCCTCCATCTATCTCTTTACTTTAATTGATACTCCGTATATATATATATATATATATATATAATACTCATCGCAATGGTTATTGGGTACATCATTACATATATCTAGAGTCGTGTTTGAATCATATTAACTTTTGACTGGAATTGTAGCACAATCAATTGGATGAGACTAAGATTATTGTACTTACTTGCCAACCCCATCCAATGTCTGTTTCGCTGGAATAATTGGAGTGAATATTATAGCAAGTCCGGTTTCCTCTCAAGGCCACGACGCCGGCATGTATCCGGTCAAGAATATCAGTCCCTTTGGGCTGCCCGTCTATGGCGCGGCACACCTTCGTCACCGGATACCCCGGCGGCGCGTTATATTGAGCGGTTGACGCGTACATACCCCCCAAGTGATTCTTGAGAACCTCCGCGTCGTCGGACGAATTTAATTTTCTAATACAAAGGAAAGTTGTTAAATGTCTCACACCGGAAAAGTTTGGATGAACAAAGTGCTATATTGACACATGGACTCCTAAGAGGAGTAGCTCATGCGTTAATATAGCACTTTATTCATCAAACTTTTCTGGGACATTTAACAAAAGTTGTGTTAAATATAATAAACATTCAGGAATAAGTCTCACTAATAGCTTAAGAAAATTGTGTATATTATTATAAGTAGTTCTCGGCAAAATGGTTTGATATAACTTTTGTATTTTTATGAGACTGTATTTTACTCCGTAGTAAAGAGCCTTTTTGTATCTCTTCCACATTATCAAAAGTTCCGTATAAAAACATAAAAATGATGACGACTCAATGCCAAACATTTTCCCCAAGTATGTGTGAATGTAGAAGGAAAAACATGTTCCTAATTATAAGTTGGGTCGAACTATCTTTATTTACTTAGTAAACTAGTGATCGATTGGAGTAAAAGTTAAAATCGAATATTTTCCTTTAATTTGCTCATTCGACATGCCAAAAAGTTAAGGAGTGCTTGGCTATATAATGACCATTTAAATTAAGGAAGGGTTGATAAATGATAATTATTCGACTTGCGTAAGCCTGCTTACTCTAATCATCAATCTGATGACTGCATAACCCACTTGGCTAAATAATAATTGTAGCGAATTAAAGAAGATTTATTACTTGCAAAGATTGAATATGCGACTTAGGATCCTGAGACCGTTTTTAGTGGAGGCATATTTGTCAATAGCGGACCATGATTTCCGTATTGTTTGATAGCAGCTCTCACTCACTTCCTGCAAATTTCATAAAGGCTTAAATAAAATGGCTATACTTAGAAGCTAAAATCACTTGGAACTAATTTTTAAAATAAAGATTGTTTACAAAAATGTAACTAGTGACTAGAGTAATAATAGAATTATAGTAACTTGTGTTTAATTTTTAAACTTAAGTTACCATAATTAATATTGTATTGTAGTAACTATTTGTCATATTTTTGTACAAATAAGTTTTATTTTAGTAATATTTTTGTAAAAAACCCAACTACTTAATACTAATAATTAATAAATATATAGCATACTTCGTATAACATTTTTAAATAAATACAAAAAGAATTACAAAAATAATATAGTATGTAGTACTGAACAATATGAGCCTGTTTGATAAACCCTGTTTTTTGTTTACCAACTTTATCAGCCAATTGCTTTTTATTTTACGCATAGAATTAGTGTTATTTTTTTTGTTGAATTGACTGAAGTTATTGTAGAAAACAATTTTAGTTATTTTACATTTAATCACCTAGTGACTTGATACATACCCTGAAATCTTTGGAGACGGTTGAAAAGTATGCATCTTGTGGGGTGATATTATCAAAGTAGAGAATGGGAGCTGATGATGCTAAGGCGCCGAGAGCAATATGAGGATACTTCAATCGAAACCAAGCCGCAAGCACTTCAAACAAATTTAGAAAATAAAATTAAAACTAAAATAAATTTATACGGTATACTTCATGCATGTAAACTAAATTTCAGCTCATACATTTAAATGTTTAATCTTCATTTTTGCCTAACCTCAATTTGTCTATGGTACTAGTATTTGTACCCGTGCCGTGCACGGGATAAAGACTATGTTGGGATATCAGCGGGTTGAGCAAAAACGTTATGTTTTTTACATTGTAAGTATTGATAATATCGGCGTGTTGGGCTTGAAACGCCGGTTAATAAACAACCCCAAAATGATTTTGATTTTTAGTTATACTAACGAAAAATCACTTATTTAGTCGATTATAACACTGATTTGTAATGCATATTCTACTGTAGGTATACGTCTCCTATACCCATGGTAATTGACTATTAGTATAAAATCCCGTTATATGACATTTTGTTTGTAGTATCTTATTTTTCTACTAATTATCCAAACATGTTTTCAGTCTATATTTTTCAATGAAAAGCGAATTTTTTTATGACTCAGTTATATCCAAATGAAAAGTTCATTTCAACTATCTTTACGTAAAAAAAAAACGAATGCTCAATGTCTAGCTACTTTTAAGAAAATATCCTTAATAAGAAAGGATATTTTCTTATAAAAAAAATTGATTCCAATTGAAAATATCCTTAATAAGAAAGGTGAACATAAATTTGAGATATCATTAAGAATATTGTGTATGTAACAAATTTTAACACTTGCAGTCTTGCTATTTTAATGTTTCCTACTTTAACTTATGATGTTTCACTCTTCTTCCCACTTTTATGAATGATTTGGGGTTGCTAAAAGGATTTTTGTTTTCATATATTTCACTTTCATTTTCGTTTATTACTTGTAGTTATTAGATTGAATTAAACAATTTTTAAAGGGTTATTTTTTCCTACTCATATGACTATGCGTCTATGCCGTCCTCCCATTTCACCTTCTACATCATTACAGATCAGAGTACTAATTCTTTTCGTTCACTTTATTTACTACAACCCTTCCATCTTATTTAGTATTTTTTGTTTCCTTTTCCCTTTACTTTGAAATTCTCATTTCATTTACGCATTCTTATACGAAATCAAATTGGAATCTTTACGCCCTTATTTAAAGGGATTGTGTCAATTTTTGAGGTCGGGTTCGCCATTACACACAGAATGGATATCTTTGTCGTTGATTTTTGGGTTTTAAGTCGGGCGGTCGTTGATAGTTATTCTATGGAAATACGATCTGTCATTTACCAAATTTGCAATGGTCTCAGGTTGATAGATTGAAGGTATAATAAGGTTGTATTATTATTTGACTTTGTTAGTGGTGAGTATGGATATATAGATTGTTGATCTAATTCGAATATTAAATTTTGTTAATAGTTCTACTATTGGATTTTCAATTTTGTTTCGTATAAGAGTTTTAGGTTTCATATTTTCATGGCAACGGTACGCAAATGAAAAATGACTTTAAAAACATTAATTCGGGTTATAATGTTATTGTTTTAACGTACATCAATTATATGTTCAATTATAATGTGATATTATCCAATAATTCTACATCGTGTGCACATGTTTTGAGAAAATTGGTACTTGAATTCATACTAATAAAACATCAAAGATTTATGTCGCAATATATGTTCGGGCATTCCATGTTTGGGGTGAGTAATATTTGTTTCAATTTTTGGATATTTGATATGAAGGATGGATATATTCATATATCTATGGATTAAAATATGGCATTATATTCTATATTTCTAATTACGATAATTGAATATATGAAAGTGGAATATATAAGAATAAAATCTTTTAACCACTCCAAATCATTTCAATAAAACTGTTTACAAATTATCTAATAACTTTCAAATCATTCCTAAAATTGGATAAAGAGTGGAACATGATAAAGTGAAAGTAGGTAAAATTTAAATAGCAAGACTACATGTGTTAAAATTTGAAAAATTCACATTTTCCTAAATGCCATCTCAAATTTATGTTCAACTTTCTAATTAAGGATATATTCATTGTGATGTCACAAAATTATACGAAGTATATTCTAACCTCTTTTCGTAAAGAAATAGGTTCGAAGGACCAATTGGCAAAATTTTAAAACCTAGAAGGCCTAATATTTGCAATAAAATTGACTACACCCATTTTTAAATTCTTATATTACAAAAATGTGTGGTTAGTCTTGAAAAAAACAGTAAATCACATATGAAATTTAATGGATAAAAATAGGCATTGAGCATTTTTGGAGGGTTCGTTTCAACTCAGAGTTATAAAAAATTTCTCTTTTCATTGGAAAATATAGACCAAATACATGTTATAATTAATTAAAAATAAGATATACTCAATAAATATGAATATTCATTATAAACCAATGTTATAATCAATTAAGTAAAACTAAAATCTAAATTATTTTATCTGGAGCACGGCACAGACAATTTTTTTAATTAGGGGTGTCATGCTTTTTTTCCCAGAATAGGAGTAATTAGTTAAAAACACTCGGATGTATTTTGTACTTAAGAATTGTTATTTCGTTAATTTAGAATTAAGCTACTTGAAATTCTACATTACAATGGAATTATTTTTGAATGGCTTAATGGGAGATGGGACCCCGACCAAAATAAAAACTTCATTGGTCATTTGCATACCTATTTTTGCTTGGGAACAAAGTCAAATAGATCATTTTGATGTCTAAAATATACCATTTAAGTACATGTACTAAAAAATTATATAAATGTTTTTTATTTAAAAAATCAATCAATTTGGCTTTTTAACTGGTTTTAACCTGTAGAAGTAGGGTTTTTACATTAAAAACTTTAAAAATGTCAAAGTCTATATTTTTGCATTAAGAACTGTGTTTATATTCTGCATCTTTTTTAGAGTTATTCCATTTTAATTTTATATTTTTATAATTTTACTTTATTTTTTATTTTCTAATTTTAGATTTTTTATTTATTTTAACATGTTAAAAATATTTATATATTTTTGAACTCATACTGATGTTATATTATGATTACATTAGTTTTCAAATTTATATGGAATTTTGTACGATTAATCAATTGTTTTATTTAATTTTTTTAAATGACCTTCAATAGCAGGTTACAATGACTTGATTGATGATGGTTTTAAAGTAAATACATTCATATGATACTTCTTTGAAAAAATTGAAAACAATAATCTCAACAATTGTTAGTTTATTTACAATAATCTCAACTATTAATTATTTCTATATAATCCGAACTATGTGTCTTGTCCGCCAATAATGGTTCATGACTGGGTATAACATGTTATACCAGGTCACTATTAATCAGAATTATGCTTGTTCTTCTTTTAAATATCCCAATTATCAACATATTTTTTTTATATAAAACACAAAAAAATGTTACTACGATTTCAAAATTAGGATTTTTTACAATTTAAAATTTATCTAAATCTAAAAATGTACCGCAGTTTAAAAATTAAAATCATTATTTTATATTTTGTGTTTTTCTAAAATAAAATATTTATGTTTTTTATATATATTATTTTTGGTTTCTTTTGCATATTCATGATTTTGTATGGATTTTAACTAATTTTAAAATTATTCAATATTTTAATTTTAAGTATTTAGAAAAAATATTATCATTTTTTTCACTTTCTTAGTTATAAAATTGTAGATCTTCATTTATTAACTTTGAATTTGTACTTTTGATTTTCACTCGTTTTTCCTCTAATTTTTTTATATTGGCCTATTTACTCCCTATATTTATAATTTTTATTTTCTGTATATATTAATAACATCTTAAATAATATAAAATTTTAATTTTGAAATTTATATAATTTTTCCATATTTTATATTTATGTATTCTTTAATTTCATAAACTACCTAAGAAGTTTTTTTGAAGAAACCTAAGAAGTTAATTATAGTAAAAATAATATGTATAATCAATTTTAACCACTTTTATGTATTTATGCAAATTTTATTTTAATTTTTAGGGCCCAATAAAAGTTGACAGATCAGATTGTTACACTCAGATACTTCTTTTGTAATTGACTAAACACGGTGTCGGGCACGTGAGACTATTATAAGCACAAGGTCATTAATGTTCGAATTATTCTGAGATAATCTATAATTGGGACTATATATAATGAGTCAACCTGTAATAATTGAGATTATTGTTATCAATTTTCCTAGTTTTTAATATAATCAATTAAGTAATGAATTCAATATAATAGAATGGTCTATTTGACCTTTTTGTCTTATTTTCTTTGATCGACGATAGGGATGTTTAAGGCACAAATTTAAGGACCGTTGATTTGCGAAAACTTCAAGAACAGTGTTATAATATTTTCATTTTTGTGTCCCACTTTTTGAAAAATTACTTAATAATATTCATATTGTATTCCAAATTATCCGAGCGTATACATTGAGAGTTCTTCAAAAATGAAAATGCTAAAGGCAATATGTCAAATTAAAATTTGAAGAATATTTTATTTTCCAAATAGAGTACGCTTTTAATCATGTTTTTAAACTATAATATACACTTATGCATAGCGTAAATTCTAGTTGAGTGCAACTCCAGAAATAAAAAATTAAGATCACATTTGATAAACACAATTTTCAGTTTATCAGTCTTATCAATCAACTTTTTCATAAACATGTAATTTTTTATTTTTCACGTTGAATTGTGTAAGAATCAAAATAATCAAAGTTGGACTTATTTTTCTAGCTAATTTGGTTGAAGTTATTACAAAATATAATTTGAGTGCAATTCTATTTGAGTGCAATTCTAGAAACAATATAAGAGACCCGTTTCATAAGGGATTGAGTTTTGGGACATGTTAAGATGTTTTTACTTTGCTTAGACCAGATCAGACTAAAAAAAATCAAGCAGACCAGATCAGACTTAAACAGATCAAGCGAGACCAGAAAAAATTTAATCTAATTAAAAACATTTGTATTACTTTTATTGGTATTGTGTTTAAATGAAAAAGTAGGAAAGAGAATGAGAGTATATGTATATTTTATTGAAAAAATTTCAAAAAATTGAAAGAGAGACAATCATTATAGAACAACTCAAAATGGAAAGGAGAACATGCATTGGAGAACGGAGACGGTAATTAGGAAAAGACCATTGGAGAACGGAGACAGTATTTAGGAAAAGACATACGAAGTATTTTTAAATTCCAAATTTGAGTCAAGTTTAACTTCTACCATTCAATGTATTGTAACAAAAAATCTAATACTCCGTAAATACTACAGAGTATATATACAGTAAAGTAATTATTTTAAAGTGTTAAATTATTTTTTTATTTTTATATATTCAATATTGATGTCATATGAAAGATAATAAAAAGTTATAAATTTTGGTATATTTTTTGTAATAATCAGAATACAACTTAAAAAGTTATGGCAGTTTAAAAAAATATGGGATTTTATTTTTTGAGTTGCACAACTCTAGGAAGCTTTAGGATTCCAACCGTGATTAGTCCAAATTAACATTAAACACTTCTAATCTAACTTGAATACCCATGTAATGTATAATACTCCCTAAATTGGAAAGAGATTCTAAGATATTATAATGAAGGTTTGATGAGAATATGCCACATGTCAAAACTTTCCCTAATTGTATCTTTGAATTGTATTATCTATAGATTACTTGGATGGATGGTAAGGTAACTAGTTCATATATACACACCAACTAGAATATTACAATTGAATAATTTAAATATAAATGAATTTTAAAATAATGGTCCAAACCGATCAATTGCATGATAGCAAAGTAGAGAGCACCTTCATTTTTATCGGTTCGGTAGCATTCACGACGTTCAATTGTTCTACTTTCTAAACTTCAAAATTCTCAAAATTTCAAAATTCACATATCTTCTCACCTTCATCTAGTCCATCCTATGAAAATTTGCATTGAAAAATTATTATTTTGCATTGTGTACACTCAGTAAGAAAACCAAATTTTATAAAAAAAGAATATATGAAACTATTTATGTCACGTACTACCTCCGTTCTTTAATAAGTGCAACATGTTGAATTTTATACTATTCACATGTTGTACTTTGACTACGTTTAATTAAATAATGTATTAATATATTTTCTTGAAAAAAATATTGTTAAATTTGTCTCATTTTAAATTTTCAAAATCTATTTTTTTTAATTTTTTTACAAATAAAGAATTGTATATATTAATGGTCAAAGTTGTGTCTCGACAAGTGTGAAATGTTGACCGTTGCACTTATTTAGGGTATGTTTGGCACAACTAGCTGAAAAGGTATTTTTGTGAACTTTTTAGTAACTGTTAGCTTCTAGTGACTGAAAAGATCTTAAAAAGAAAAGGTGGTAGCTGTTTGGTAAAAATCTGACGGTTTGATTTAGTTCTGTTTGGTATACAAGCTGTTAGGACAAATTAATACTAAAAGTCACAGACTTTTCTCAGATGCTACACCCCGTAGCATCTCAAAAAAGATCTTTTAATTTTTGAAAAGCTCTTAAATTTTGTCATGCCAAACATACAACTAGAAACTTTTAGAGACTTTTTAAATAGTACAAAAGCTAGAAGACAAAGACTTATGTCTGCCAAACATGCTCTTAAGAGCAGAGGAATATAAAATTAGCGTCGGCTGGTTTGCTTTTGCTTAGCATAAACATGAAGTTTGTAATACGCTCATTTATTAGACCGTGGAGAAATAATAATTGTCGTGCAATCGTGCGAATCCTTGTTTCCCACTTCCTACTATTCAAAATGGGCAGTGACATGATGTTTCTATTAAAACATTCCTTTTATATACCGGACAATTCATACCAATTTAATTGAAGTTATGGTTCTCTATAGTCTATACTAACTAATTAATTTATTCCCATTTTAGCCTAGATATTACTAAATATAGGATAAAAGACAAAAAAAGTGGTCAATTTTTAAAAATTCCAAAAATGTAATCAACATCACAATTAACCCTGCACTGCAAAGTGACCCCACCAGTCAGTGATTGCCCCACCGGTCATGGTGACTGTTCCACCGGCCACAGTGATTGTCCCACCGACCACAGTGACTGCCCCACCGACCACAGTGACTGCACCGCCGACCACAGTGACTGCCCCGCCGACCACAGTGACTGCCCCGCCGAACACAGTGACTGCCCCACCGACCACGGTGACTGCCCCACCGACCACGGTGACTGCCCCACCGACCACAACGACTTCCCGCACACCAGCCATAGTGACTCCCGCCCACCTACCACAATGAATGCCGCCCACTTACGGCTGCCTGTCTGCCGGCAACAGTGACTGCCCGTCCAACTCCATCACCGCCGGAAACCACCACCTCCCACTTTCGCCTGCCACCACGGTTGGCCGCCAATCCCAGCCGCTCTCCTACACCAACCCCAACACAGTCCCTCCCAGCACCCCAACCCACAATCAGCATCCCCCACCCCTCACAACAGCCCCCAACCAGTCCTTGCATAACCGCATCACACAACGCCCCACCCCTAGCCATCAGAAAACACCACAGCTCCCACACAATCGCCCCGTCGCGGGCAGTCAATCGCCGCCGCCTCTCGTCACCCTTAGATCCATCGCTACACATCTGGTAACCCTAGCTGCCGTCGTAGATCTACTGAGGAAGACGAATCCAGCAGTGGCGATGGCCATCGATGATGACTAATCTGGCGGCGGTGGCCATCGAGGAAGTCTGAACCGACAGTGGAGGCCATCGAGGAAGTCTTAACCAGCGGCGGCGGCCATCGAGGATGAGGGCTGCATAGTTGAGGAGCTTGCGGTCGTTGCTGGTCGATGTTGCTTGCGTTTGAGGAGTGATGAAGGATTCAGGGGAGCTGCGATGGAGGAGGGCTGTGCAGGCGTGGAGTGGGAGTTGCGATAAAGTAGGGTTGCGAATTGCGATGGAAATGGGGCTGGGTAACGAAAGAGTCAAGTCACATTTTAGGGAATAAAAAAACAAGTCATATTCTTGGAAACGGAAAGTCCATTAGTCCTATTGAGGCCATCTTTTCTTAATTTATTCCCATTAAAGATTTTTCTACCATACTAGCCGGGAAATGTATTTTCTTGTAAAAAAATCCCTAAATTGGACATATTTATCTGTCACATGACTCATTATACAAATGAATAAAGATATGTATGTATAGATTTTTATTCAAATGAGAGAAGTATGTGTACGAGTGAGAATGGATCTCAGTCGTTGAATATGAGGATGATGTTGCACTAAACAGCTATATATTACACTAATATTTGAACTTGACGAACATACACTAAAATAAATTTATATTAGGCTATATAAAATTTGACGATGTAGCACTAAAAGAATTTAATATTGCATTAAAGAGATGCAATATTGTACGTATTTCCAGAAGTACTTATGAAAGGCCACCACATTAAAGAGATGCAACATAATGCTCTTTTATTACAACATAACTGAATTCAACAGCTTAACTTTATTTTTATTTCTTACTTAAAAGCTTCTTTCCACTTAAACCGCACAATGTCTGTGCATTATCGTTCAAACATGGGTGGAGATAGGGAGGGGCCGGAGATGACCACGGCCCCTGTAAGGAATTTTTTTTTAAATATATATTATATATAAATACTTTTAATCTGTGAAAAGTATGTTGATATTTTAAACTTTGGCCCCTGCAATGTAAAATTGTTAAGGACCGACCCCTTTAACCCTAAATGTCTGGCTCCGCCATTGCGTTCAAAGCTAAGCTTCAAATATGAGAATCTTTTTTATCTTGCTAACAAATATCATGATTTCTTTTCACAAATATGGAAATCATATCATTTTATTCTTTTCTACTCAAATTTCTATCAGAATTTATTACTTTATTTACCATTTTATTAATAAACATGTTAAGTCGATCTAATAAAACAATAAACAAGGGCCATGCCCGGAATAGGATAGGGTAAAAATTGTACATACTTCCCCCATAGGATCCTCCAACAACGATGACCGGAGATTTTCGAGTATTATATTCGTCTTTTACGTGTAACAACACTTGTGCATAGTCTGCTAAAGCTTGAGCCGAATTGAAATAACCACGAAGGGTCTCATTCTTCATAGCATCATCCATTGTTCCAAATGGAATTGATTTCCCATAAAACCTATGCTGTATATCAACATTTCTTTATGAGGGATGGTTAAGAAACTACATACTACTTCGTATAACATTGACATTTCTTATGATTCATAAAAACCTACGTCTATGTAGGCCTGGACTCGGGCCGGGCGGCCCGACCCGGAACCGGCCCGGCCCGGCCCGGTGGCCCGGTCCACCGGCGGTTCGGGTCGAACCGGCCCGGTGGTTTCCGGTTCCGGGCCCGGGCCTTCCAAATGGTGAACCGGCCCGGCCGGTTCGGGCCCGGTCCGGGCCGGATTTTAATTTTTTTTTTTTTTTTTTGAAATTTTTTTAAAGTTTTGGGTTGGAATAGGTATTTTGGGCCATTTGAGGTGGTTTGGGGTGGTTTGGGGTTGAGGGGGAGGGGTAGGGGATTAAATAGGAGAACAAAAAAAAAAAAAAAAATTAAGTGGGCCGGTTCGGCCCGGCCCGGCCCGGCCCGGTTTGGCCCGGAACCGGGACCGGAACCGGCCACCGGCGGTTCGGGCCCGGGCCTCCCATTTCCTGGCCCGAGGCCCGGCCGGGCCCAGGCCCGAACCGGGCCCGAACCGGCCCGAGTCCAGGCCTACGTCTATGCCAACAAATTTTTAGTTTAAACATGCAATTGATCCGACCAAAAATGTTTTTAATTGGAATATAATTTTCTATGCGTTTTTACAACTATCAAAGTTTGGTCAACCAGTCTAATTAAAAACATCAGAATAACAACAACATTTTCAGGATTAATACATAAATTTAACAAGCAAATAATATAAAAATATGCCAACCATCATATAAGGTCTAGGCCACTTTTATTGTAGAGTGGTCATTGAAGAGATGAAACTTCTCATGCTATTTTAAAAAAAAAGTTTTTTCGTAAATTTGGATGGACAAAAACTCGGGTTGGACCATGCACGCATGAAAGGAATTTTGTTACGACTAAAATAAATTGAATAAAATTAGACGAGACTTAAACAAATGAAGTCAAACCAGATTAAGACCTTCCTAAAAGATCCTTTATCTAATTAAAACACTACTAAACGTAGTTACCTCTATGTAGATGAGAAGGGCCTTGAAACGAGGGGCAATATCGGTAAGAAACCCGGCAAAGGCGGGATCATCGTCGATCGGAGCTTCGGCGCCGAGCCATGCCAAGATGGACCCACCAGGAGCCCAGTGCTGGGAGTTGACAATGTACCTCTGGTCAAAGGTGTCATAGCTCTGGGGTGCATAATTGAAGTGATCCAACGTTTGCTTGTAGTAAAAGGTCTTGAAATGGGGAGGAAGAGACGTCTCTTGTGCCGCGTTTGGTATGGAGCTTTTGTCGAATGGGGTGAGCCTGGGAATTAATTTGTGTGGCAGCAGAGATTTAGAAGAAAGGCATTGTTTTGAGAAGAATATGGGAAGAAGAAGAGGAAAAAAAGAGTAAAATTGAATCACAATCTTAAAGAGCTTCATTTCGGTGGCAAGCATCAGTGGAAAATGTACCAAGATTATATAGTATGCAAAAGCCCCTAGCTATCTAACCATTTTGACATCAATTTATTGATTTACTCCTTGATATGTGCAACTATATAGAGTACGTTTTGTAAGACTGAAATTGACTGATTCGGTTTAATCTGCTTAAATTTATGAAGTTCTGACTAAAGAGACTTAATTGACTGATTTTGCTGATTTATGGGGGGAATTAAAATACTTTTTTAATAATAACATAAAGAAAAAAAATATGAAAAAGTAGCTAAAATGATAATATGTAGTAACTTCAGTCAATACAATCAGAAAAGTAATTTCAATCATACGGACCGATACAAATTCAGCGTGTGAAATCAAAAATAACGTGTTTAGTGAAAAAACTAGTTGATAATCAGGGTCACCTAACGGGCTCATATAATTGCATGATTTGTTAATCACCAGCCTTGATAGATTTTTTTGTAATATTCTTTCAAATAGTAGTACATTAGAGTGTCTCCTCATGATAAAGACAACATCCTTAGTATATATACGACTTGCTTTATGAAAGATCAACAGTGATGTCGTCACAGTACAAAACACTTGATTGATTGAGAGTTTTAATCAATTGGACATCACTATTTACCACTATTCTAAAATTCGGCCTAATAGGACCGATTAACCGACCTAGTCGGCCTTAATTGTATAGGATTGATCGGCCTACTTAACCAAATTAAAAAATGACCTAGTCGGCCAAAAGATCAGCCTAATCGGCTGCCTAGGTGCTAGACGCCCCTCTACCGCTCAACTAGCGCCTAACGAATTTTAGAGCTTGTGGTTAAGAAAATCACTAGATGAGTAATAATAATAAATAATCTTACCACGAAAAGTTCCATCATTGATTGTAGGGGTGGGCATGGGTCGGGATGGTTCGGGATTAGGGTTATCCCGATCCCGTCCCAATTAATAATAATGGGACGGGACGGTACGGGACAAGCCTTTGTCCTAGTCTTGTCCCATTTAAATCGGGATCGGGATGATTCGGAACAGTTCGGGACGGTTCGGGACGTCCCAAAGTAACAAAAATTAATCATTTGTAACTAATATATATTAGCATTTCTAAAATATCATGCACCAAAATATTAACATTTTAAAAGTTAATTGATGTTCACCACAAACTAAAAGCTACTACGTATTAGATTTTAGTTAGGTTTAGCAAAATTTGAAATTTAAATTTAAAACAAAGAAATAATGAATTAGTTTATTCAAAATCTATGTGTTCTAGTTGTGAGATACTCATATGTAGATATATAAAGTGAGATAAAAACCTATGTTAGTAAATATTTATGTTAGGTATCATTTTTAATTTAAAAATTGGGCTTGAAAAACTAAAAACATGTTATCATTTATTTTTTGAGTTGACATTACAAACTAGTCACATGGTACAAAATCTATATAGTTATTACAAACGGGACAACGAGACGGTTCGGGATAACCTTCCAATGTCCCGGTCCCGTCCCATTTTAAGCCGGTACGGGACCGGTGCGGGACAAAATCAATGAGATCCAAACGGAACGGGACAACACCGGTACGGTTTCGGGATATACCGGAATGGGACAACGGGACCGGGATTCTTGCCCGCCCCTAATTGATTGCAAACATTTTATTTTGATCAACTCTTCTATAGGAAACCTAAGGAACATTCCACGAATCCACGCACGATGATACCAAACCTTTCATTTAATATTATTATTTATTTACGTCAAAACTACTTTAATTTAATTCACCTTTAAATTACGCTCGTTGGAAAATAATTGCTGTTTTCTGGGTTTAGCGAACCGGGTCGGGAGTCCTGTCTAAATTCTATGTTTTTAGCTTTGAACTTTAATCTAAATTAAGATGTTTTTCATTAGACTTAAATTTTCTGATATAGTTAATTTGGTCTATTATATTTAAGCTAAATCTGGTAAGTTTAAGACTAATTCGGTCTGATCTAAACTAGTCTGATCCGGTCACGTCAATGTCTTGTCTCTATGCATTTTATAATTGTTGAGGTCTGGTACGGTATATTTTTGTCTCGTCTAAGACCGAAATAAGTCCAAGTAAAAACATCATGAGCCCGTTTGGTAGCACGAAAATCGGCTGATTTGGCTGATTCTGCTGAAATTTATGAAATTCTGGCTGAAGTGACTGCATTGACTGATTTTGCTGATTTACGAAAAAGTTATATGTAAAAATAGCTAAAATGGTCGTCTACAGTAACTTCAGCCAATACAGCCAGAAAAGTAACTTCAACCTTATTTTTTTTGCTTATTACACAATCCAGGGCGTGAAAGCAAAAATTACGTGTTTGGTGAAAATGTTGGTTGATAAGCCTGATAAGTCGAAAAACAGTGTTGTCAAACGGCTTCCATATATATCATTATTGTGCTGGTTAATATTTATCTCTATGAGTTAAGTGTGTTCTCATACAAAAATAATCGTCTATGACACATTATTTCACTAAAATGAAATTATCTAAATGATATTGAGTTCATAAGGTATGACTAACTTTGAGACATATACATATGACCAATTATGGTTTGTGAAAACGTTTTAGGATGGAACAATCTGGAAAAAAAATAGACAAATATAGTACGAAGTATAAGATGGTGACTCATAGATTAAGAACATATATGAATAAATTGAAACAGAATTTCCATAAATTGAAATTATATAACTGATATCAAGTTCATAGGTATGACTAATTTTGAAACATAACATGCATATGATCAAATATGGTTTGTGAAAACGTTTTAGGATGGAACAAACTGAGATAAAATGTGAAAAATATAGTATCATAAGATAGTGACCCATAAATTAAGAACAGAACATGGATAATGTGTCTTTGATAAATACATAAATTGCTTGTTTTAGTCATACAGGGTAACGAGAATTGAGAAAAATGATTTGACTATATCCAGTAGGTCTTGATGGTGTAATTAAACGGCATTAGCCAACAGAGGCGGCTTCAATTCACGACAACAGTTAATGGAGCAAGGTAGAAAAAGAATATCAAAAGCTAGAGAAAAATGTGTGAAGTAGCATGAGGCCAGGGGTGCTCCCATTTGAAATGCATTTGCATGAGCATGTTCATTACAATCCGTAGGAGACTTGTTACCATGATCATAGTCTCATCTCAAGGAGCTTCGTTTAATGCAAATTGATACCATGTAAATACGGAGTATGTAATTGCAAATTTTACGGGTCAAAGAGATAATTAGAAGGTGACAACTCCGGTACCTTTCTAAAATATGGGGCACCGTACCTATCATTCATTTGATTGGATCACATCATTTTATCATTTTTAAATTAGATTTAAATAATTCAACTACTTAGAATGTTTAATTTAGTGGTCTGGTCTGGTCTGTTTAAGGCTAATCTGGTCTGGTCTGGTAAACGTCGAGTCTATGGTCTGGTCTGGTCTAGGACTGAAAACAGTCCAACTAAAAACATACTTAAATGTTGGAAAAATGATTTTACAAAATATATTTTATTTGTAGAAAATCATTTTGAAATGAATGAGAAATTGTATCTCGAAAATCTCTCTAAAGCAATGTTAGTGTAGGACTTGTCCGGCGTCACCGCTGTCGTCTGGTCGATCGACATGTCGGGTCCAGTCGGTTTCGGGTTATGGATGAATGCGCACGTGGCTTTAAGACTAAACATTATTTTTTGTACAAAATATTCCGGATAAAAACAATTATAAGAGAAGGGTCACATCCTTTTCTTAACAGACACCTTTTGGGATTGTGTCTCCTAGCCATATCACTCACTATAAATCTCATTAGAAGGCATGTGTTTTTCACACACGAGAAATCCAAAAATCCTCTTACCATCTCCACCGTCTTTCTTTGATCCTCCATTAAAACGCTGCATCTTTGAGTTCGCCGGTGTCGGTTGCCACGTAAAAACCGTTCTATCCTGGGAGGCGATTGCTACTTGTGGTGTGAGCAAATTCGTCTTAAGGAGACATCGATTCATTGGACTCGGTTTCAAGTATTTTTAATTACTTTTCTTTTATTTAGTTATATATTGGATGCAGATTTATATCAATTTTCAATAACACTTACCACCACCACCCCCTCCCCCACACGTAAAAACTGTGGAATTGAAGAAGTGTGGATTGTCGAAATCATTATGCCTTAATCTGTAAGCTAAAAAAACACACGTAGAATTTTTTTCAAAAATATACTCCGTAATATTCTTGTTAGGAATAACAGGATCGTGCTAATATGAGAGAAAAACACTTCTATTACTTTCAAGAATAGAAAGAAGAGACATACAAGCTCTAACTAAAAACTCTCAAAACACCTCACATATCTCTCAAGGATATTCACAACTCAAACTTGGTTGTGGTATTCTAATCTATGATCTAAATTGCTTGATGATAGAAAGACTCTCCAAGCTCTCTATTTATAGTACCAAAATAAGGTAGTATGAAGGTGGGAGGAAGATGTGTTGAAGCTAAGAGGAAGCTTCAATGGTGGTTGAGGAAGCTCCCCTTGTCATTCTTGCACATGGAGGAAGCTTCATGGAAGCTATGAATTGGATTCTTCAATTTGCTTGTACTTGGATATGACCTGGAAATTGAATTCTTCAGCTGTGTAGCCTTCCAAGACTGGATCAGCTCCTCCGTAACAAAGACGTAACTTCATGGTATCTTTCAAGTACCTGAGAATCCATTTGACTGCCTCCCAATGCTCCTTCCCGGGGTTAGAGAGAAAACGACTCACTGTACCCACTGCCTGTGCGATGTCTGGCCTTGTGCATACCATGGCGTACATCAAACTCACAACTGCTGAAGAATATGGAACTGCTGACATCTCCCCGATCTCTTCCTTGGATGTAGGGCATGTTCTTTTGCTCAACTTGAAGTGATTCGCAAGTGGAACACTTACTGGCTTGGCATCATTCATGTTGAATCTCTCAAGTACTCGTTCAATGTACTTCTCCTGAGATAGCCATAACTTGCGAGTCTTCCTGTCTCGAGTGATCTGCATCCCAAGAATCTGTTGAG